ATCATAATTGACTGAGAAATATAAGCCATAAGAAATGTCATTTGTATGAAGAACATCTCTTTGAGTTTGACACATAACGACTCTCGGTAGATTTTAAATACTGGTGCTTAAATTTGCTGGAAAAATATTAATAAGTGTACAATATTCAAAATTTTGTACTTATTTTCAAAAGCCTCSGGTTTCTGYTTCTTTAAATTATTTTTGTCTCCTAAACATTTGATTTTTATTGTTCGTGTTTATATTTGCTTTCTTGTTCCACCTTAATTCGACAACATATAAAACCTCACATATATATAGCAGTAAAGTATAGCTTGATATATGACTCTTATTTCTAAACTTGAGGGCAATTATAACACTTAAAAATCAAATTGAGCGCGATAAGGTGCGCTCATGGTCGATGGGTMTGTAATGAAAAGGATCATTTCAACGCTACCTGTTTCGATATCATCACTTTTGACTACAAAACCCTGAACACGGTGAACTTCGTCTTCATCTTGATCCGATGGCAGCAGAGAAGGTCCTAAAATACTTTTACCGCTACTRCCAAGGATAACTACAATAGAAACAGGCAGTTTTAGTTCTCCCAGTGACTAAGTGATGGTACAGTGTAGTTTTTTTTTACCTGAGTAATGAGGTAATCTTTCAGATGCCTTCCTGTACACATATCCAGTTTGAACGTCAATGCTTCTCTTGTCTTTTAGTTTATCTACGCCAGATAAAAGGAAAACTTTGTCCAAGTAAATTTATAGCAAATAATCCAGTKATTCAAAGCAATTGTCACAGAGATAACAATACAAGTACGCGATCTATTTTCATACTTCATAATTTCAAATGTCGGGTATAAAAATGTATCAATATATGTACGTCCCAGATACTGAGAAATTTTCAAGCTTTAATCTTAAATAAAGTGATTATTCATTTCACAGCTAAAATCAAAGGCTTTTCGCAAGAATGAGATTTTAAAGTTAATGATAGTTCATCATAATAAGCTTATGATAAGGGTCGATAATTAAGATAGACAGTTGATTCCTTTAGCAAAAAAAAATTACTAAAATGAACTGTAACGATTGTATTTATGTATATTCAGAAGTTACTATTAGTCAAAATAGTGCTGAAAATACTCAATCTATTCAATAAATATACTACACATATCTTCACAGATCATCTCGTTATTTCAATGTGTACTCATATAGAAAACTGTTCAAAATGAACAAAGTTCCATTCCATTCTTTTACAATCTAAAAGTATCAATCGAAGTTCAAGCACAAATACTTGCTTAATTCAYTGACACGGTTTTGGAACAGTTCACTACTCTCTATCGGAGAATTGTCGTACCTGCAGAAGCCACAATCTTGTAATTTTGACAGGAGACAACCACCATGGCTAACCACCATATCGACGCCATTKTTGTTCTTTCAATACACTCGCTGATATTTCCTTGTATAAGTGARTGTACAATTTTTTGTAGGAAAACAGCAGATTTGATATATATAGAAGCTAAAAAAGGCAACAAAAGGGTTTTTAAATTTTAGTTTTCTATGGTCGTTGGGTGGCTAAGTACCAAAACGTTGACCCTGCTGACTAGAGTCACTGACCAAACCGAAAATACAACATGTCAAATCTCCAGTGCAATATAGGACTTACCATTCAACGCTTCCAGTAATTTACACTTGAGYTTACCATAGGATTTCAACTAAAATTTATGGCAACATTGCATCGATAGATACCTTAACAACTACATATCATAGTCACGTGATCGTCGGTGCGTGGAGGTGACGTCATTTGGTATTATAAGGTAACAACTCAACGAAACATTTGGTTAGTACTTCATGTAAGACACCATGAGAATCCTAACCCTTGCCCCAATACAGCATAGATATTTGTAATATTTGTAATGGGTTCTTGCATGAAGTACTCAACGAGTATTAACATTGGTATAGTGACTAAGTATCGCAGTGTCTATGAGTAGACACCAATGGTCCTCGCTTCTAATGACGTCATGGAAGTTCGGCGAGGTGCACTATGGGATTGGCGAGAGTRCAAGCCGGAGCTATTTTGCTATGTGTTGGGCTGCATCGAATTGCTGAGCTTTGAGTCACGTAGTTTGCTTCAGACATTTTATGAAATCTTTGATTCCGATCTGCCGGCAGGGCTAAGATCTCCTTGCAAATTCGTACTCTGAGATCCAAGTTCACCTAATGTCGCTATTAAATACAGCAAAGTATCGATATTCCCACTTTGCACAAAAAGCCAAGTGTTTCATGGCATTTCTGGATGACCTAAGCAGACCTATATAAAGTTTGGCCAATAACGCCTAAATGTCGCGGTCTGACACATTGCCCAGTTTTTGGTAACGAGAATGTTGGGCATGCAATATGTCATTAGTAACATTATGTGACTATGGATCCCAGTGTACTGAGGACTTTGCTTGATCCGATGGGCAACGTTAATTTCGCACTGACTTCGCCAAATCGTCTGGGCTTCATGGAGAAAAGGATCGTTCACGCAACGTTGTTTGTTAACTCATTTCAATCACTCTGATATATAAATATTTTATTTATTAAAATGCTGTTTTTTCTGCTAGTTTTTGCGTATGATATATAATCAGCAGAAGTGCGTAAAAACTCTAAGACCCATGGAATTTAATACAATATAGAGCATGCCCTGATAACTGACAATGTCCTTTCATATAAAGTGCTATTGATGATCTTTTTCTAAATGTTCACGACGATATATCGTTGCATACACGTCCTTCGTTCCAACACGCTTGGGATCTGTAACATTCTCTCTCAAAGCGGCTTCTGAATTCCCCGATGGGTAGTAAAGAGCAACGACGTAGATTTCATTAGTTACAGAGCCTTTYCTTTGAGCGCATCCCATTCCMACATCGCGGGTATTTTTCCAAATTAACTGAGTAAACGAATCGGTATCACTGTTCATACGTGGGTCTGAGTAACTATAATGAGATCCCTGAGAATACCATATRCGCGCGGCTTCTTCTCCGGCCATTTCGCAGTCATAGTTCACAGCAGAAAGCTTGGCTCTGTTCTCCCCTAGTTGATCAATRCCTGGGGCTTGGATGCTACCGTTTAGCGCCATTTGATAGGCGAGTTTTTGCGCTCGAGCGGCGAGTTTGTCTGACCATTTCAGTGGAGGAGAGTGATGAATGGCKCGAAAATTGTTCGATGCTTCAAAACCTTTTTTAGCAAACGTCACAAACTTGCCTGAAATTGAAATAAGCAAATTCACATTTTTCTATGGTTTAAGCTGCTTTTACTTTCAAGTAATAACAGTTATAAAATTCATAGAACAAGTCAGGGGCTGACCCCTAGCTATGAACTCTACATCTTTACAATATATGTAAGTATGCAGTCATTACTGTAAAGCAAAACATTTGCTGACTTAAACTTTTAAATGACTTTGCCATTTTCATGAATAACACGCATATCAAGACATTTTGGAAATAGAATAATTGAGAATTTCGCTCATTCCTTTTTGACTTGACTGGTCTTAAGTCTCATTATATTTTTCAATGCTTACTTCGTAAATATTTGTCGAGTTCCCTTCGATACGCTTCGCCGTGGACAGTTTTGATGCAAACTACACCTGCACAAAAAGACAAAACAAAAATAATTGTAAACCTTAATGATAGTGTTACTTGGCGTTATCAGGAGATACTCGTCCTAGATCGATCAGTCTGTGTACTCAATTATATATACTCACTTGAAAATGATAGCGCAGTCCAAACTAGCAGAAGTCTGAAGATCATTTTCTTCATCTCTTAGCTTTTTCCCAACAGCCTAAAACTGAGTTCAATTTTTCGCTACAATAGATACAGCAACGTTATACTAAGGAGATATACTAAGGAGAGTTCTTTCAAAACGATTTCTATTTTGGCTTCGGCGTTTGCAACATCAAAACTAACTCTTGAAACAGTGTTTGTAAATTAGTAGCCAAGTAAAATAACTGCCATTTAATAGTGTTCGACTTATAACCTATTTAAAATCAAAGACATAAAATTGAGAACTATATAATAGACTTTGCGCTAAARCATTAGCAAAGCACTTGATTTACGGCCAACCAACTCCCGCCCTTACCTCCTCGTTTAAATCCAAAATCAAAACTGCTTTCACATCTTTGATAAGATGAAAATCTTTCCTTTTATCGAGGAAATTAAAAATAATGAGAACAAAAGCTGTCTGTCATCAAAGCTAGTTATTTTACCTATACTTAGCCAAAATTTATAACCAAAATGATAAATAATAAATAAGTTCACTTATGTGTTGTTCGTTTGTTGGTGCTCTGCAGGTGCTCATAACCTTCGCTGGTTTCATTAACAGAAAACTGACTTTTTTACGCTTCTCTGAGTCTAAATAATGTTGCATCTTTTAAACATAGTATAAATGGATCAAAGAGTTTGTTTTATGCGAAAATTAGGAAGCTTGCAACTAAACTCACACTAAAAGTTCGCAGCTGAARTTGTTCAGTGAAGTCAGAAACTTGAGCACTCATCTTGGGATCTTACACTTCAACCCAACACTGACTTTTCGCATGGTCCAACGATTTAACTATTAAAATAGTTAAAAATTGACAAATGCTACAGCCCAGTATTTTATTTCTTCTTTGAGTTAAACTACTGTTTTTAACCAGATTCGAATATCGTCTTAATATTTGAAGGCAAATATTCAGTTCAAGGAGCTGTGGACTTTCCGATGTGTTGTAAGGTTACTCGAGTACTTGAACTTTTTTAGACACACTTCACACTGATACAACTTTGTTTTTCCTTGCTGAGCTTGGCCYGCRTTACAGGGCTTCAGTGGCTTACTAGTATCATTGTAAAGATTCTTGTGAACAATACTGATGTGAGATTTTAGATTACTAAGATACTTRAATTGCTTTTTGCARGTTGGGCATTTGAACTTATATTCGCTTGATTTTCTTCGGGATTCGCTCAAACCAAGAAGCGAACACGCTTGAAGTTTCTTTTCCTGGTCGTAAATCAAACTGTCGTAWTTATTGCTGGGTTCGTCTTCAAATAGAGATACTGTAAGTCGGTCAGAGAGAGCTTTCAGCCGTGGCGTGCTGGTGTGTCGGCTTGAATGAGGCGATGTTTTTGGTGAGCGTTCCAAGTCTTCAAGTGATGGCAGTTTCCGTAGTTTTCTACCTTTTGGGCTATGAATTAGAGACAAAAATAAAGTTATTGATTWAATRGCAATTTCTTTTATTTMTTACGTGCATTGATTCAAAACAAGGCGTTCCTGGCCTCGCCCAATCGACTTTATAATCTTTTTGTTACCTTTCATCAGAAGAAGAATAACTTGCRGTTCCTGGTGAAGATTTTTGTCCTTCCTAACAAAAGATAGTCAGAGACTTCATTTTAATACGTTTATACCAAATTATGCTCATAATTTGGCTATAAATAACTAAATCTGGACACAGGTCAAGTTAAATGTTATACTATAACTCCCAGAAAAGGAAATCGCTGCTTAATCGTAACCTCAATGTATCCRGACTGACCAAATCAAAATATTTKTGAAATCTAAACCCTTTTTAATTAACTTTAACATTTTTGAATTCATATAAAGTGTGTCGGAGAGGTGCAGTAGGCGAAGGGGCCTCAAAATTTGTCGCATATTCAAATTTCCTTCGAATCAACTTTATAATATTTGTGAATGTATCAAATTAACAACATYTTGGTTGCAGCAATATTCAAATGAACCTGAAAAACTAGACTCAACAAGTCTGACATTTGGCTTTTGGMGCTGAAAAGATTGTCAGTCTTCTTGAATGCATTGGTTTGCATATATTAAAAACGTGAGTTGCCGTTTGATATGCCTAAACTCCATACAACGAATGGAAATAAACTCATAATTCATAAAGATTCTTACAAATAATGATCTTAATGAGCGACTGAAAGCACAAATTTACAGGATATTTACTTGATTCCAGCTTACAGAAATAGCAAATTGATGGTTTTCAACCATTCCCATGAGAGTGAGCAAAACAAAAAGGTCCACCAGTCATGGTGGTGGTTTTTTTGTCAGATCCACCAGCAATGGCGGACATCTTTTGTTTAACTTTCTCTCCTGGGAATGGTTGAAAACCATCAATAGACATTTAAGCTTACCTCACTCCTTCGTTTTAGCCGTTGTGAGCTTCTTCTTCCGGCAATATCGCTCATCATCAAATGTAACACTAATATTACCACTACACGATTGTAAAGTGTCTGGAATTGAAAATAATTAKTYAGCTTTCACGTAGMGTAKCTTGACCGATCGAATTACGAATCTGTAAGCAAACACTGGAACTACTAGAAAATGTCTAGATTAYAGCATAAACTTTATGTAACTCGCTTACCCAGCACAATATTACTTCGAATTGTGCGATGAAGAACAGTATAATATGATGTTGATATTTCGTTTAACTGTAACAACATAAATCCTGAAATTTAAAAAACTTTGCCAAACAGTTCAAGTGGTTGTTTATTCTCCCCCGCCACTCTGCGCTGACCATCAAATAGCGTCGGCTCAAGGAAACTGGTAACGAGTAGTTTGTTTTGGATTGAATTGCAGGAAAACATGGCGATCCCTCACGAAGTTTTAGCTGAAGGATGGATCCCTTTTACCGTCGTACTTGTGGTAAGATTGGTCTGCAGTAAAAGAGGAGACACTCGTAGTTTCTTTGWGTCTGTGATATATCATATGGAGAAGTGATATCTGAAAAGCTGACATTTTTGTTAGCTCGATAGTYGACCATACATGCTTTTTAATTTTCAACCACTTTTCCATTTAAACTTATTTGTTATCACACTATCAGATATTACCACTTTGTGATAAACTTGGCTTGACTTATGATGATTATGAAATTTTTATTTGTTCATTTCGAAGTTCACCCAGCTTTTCTGCAAGGAACTCACATGACCTGAGATATATATGTGCTTCTCAGAAAATGAACTTGCAAATATTGCGTCACTGATATAAAGTTACTGCACCCAAATCATGCACCTTTATGAGCTTTCTCAGCGTGTTTCCATACRTTTTCGTTAATTTGAGGACGGRGAAAAATGCAAAACGTCTGAAAACGCATCTTTGAGGATGATAGTTTAATTATTAAATAATTATACAATTGAATGTCGTATGCTTTGTTATTTTCCCAGATGACACTTATATTCTCATGGTTCTACATACGATATTATCAAGACAATTCACTRTCTGAGGTGTCTTCTACTATAACTGCTATCATTGCATTAGTGATAGCTTTGCTTACCTCTGCTTTGGTTCCTGTTGATATATTTCTTGTTTCATTCATGAAGAACAATGATGGTTCCTGGAAGGTAGGTGTCCTTGACCAAATGCCCATCCATTGACTGGTATAATGGCTAATGAGTGATTATAAAAGAGTCAATTCTACTACATATTCATATTCATATTCATAATTCTACTACATATTACACCAATCACATATAGTATTCTTCGTATGCAGGTTATGTCACAGTGGCCATCTTGGAGGAACTTTAACGAAGGATTTCTCATTTATAGTATCTATTGTTCATTCCTCCAACATGRCTGCCAGTCTTTTATCTTGAATCTTGAATCTCTTGGGAATGGTTTAAAACAATCAATACCCAGCAAGTTTATCAACATTGTATGTTGTCATATGAAATTAGCACAATAATCTTGACAGCAGGTTTTGCTTTTTAGCCCTGGAGCTCTATTACTGCTGATAGAAATGATCTTGAGTCACTGGTTGATACTTCATACTATGGTATGTTATTGGAGATTAGAACAGAAAAYTTCATGCCTCATAGATGGACAGACTATTCTTAAATGGATCGAGTTATCACTTCTCTACAAAATACAGTAAATTAAACTCTTTTTKTGCGCAGTTAGATGCTGTTTTATAGAATGAGGACATGAGACATGTGAAACAAAGTCTAATTAAAAATAAAGTTGTTAAATTAATGGCATWATGCTGTGATAGTTGAAAAAAACTGGAAGTCTAATATTATCTTTGTCATTCTACTCGTTAATTMGACAGTAATCTTGCAATAAATTTGTTAATACTTCCAAAGAAAAACAAAGAAATAAGCACGATCTTACGTATAACATGGAATGTTTACTGGGGCAAGAATACTTTGGATAAAGCAATGGTGGGGGCGAGATTAAACCTTGATGGGGGCGAGATTACCTTGATGGGGGCGAGATTACCTGAAAAGATTGGGGGCGAAACTGCCTGACACCCGAACACAGTTGCGAAGACTATAAAGTTTTGAGGAACATCCAGTTTTTTTTGTCCTTATAAAATTAGCAATTGATATTTGTCAATAATTCCAAATTGTAGATTATTAAAAGTTTCTGTCTAATATCTTCATGTTGCACATATGCTGCTCTGCAAAAATGACATTTAATTGTAATGAATGTGTATTTATTGTACATAATAATGTATTGTCTCTCTGTAGTTCTCTATGGTCTTTTGGCATCCTTGATATTCTTGATCATTCCCTTCATGTATTTCTACTTTGAGGAGAAAGATGATGATGTCACTACAAGAGAGGTAGGCTTTCTAACCTCTTGGAAAAGGAGGAAACTTAGATAGGCCGATTTACATAATACAATTGTATACTACAAGATGCACACCACAATCTTACCATGTTTCCATTAACATTTGTGGCGAGTGAATTTTTGTGGTGAGACTAAGAATGCCTGTGATAGAGGCTAACCTGTAAGAGGAAGGCAGGAAACCCAAAGAGTAAAAAGCAGAAATAACGAGATATTAAACAAAGAGGTCACAATGTGTATAGAGCAGATTTTGTATGAGTGGGAAACGGACGGTACTGTGCTGTGTCCGTGATCGTACTGTAACCAAATTCTAGTGCCCCATTGTTTCACCAAAATTCTGCAGGCCAGGTGCGGTAATTGTGTGGTAACCGTGCGGTAATGGTGTCCCACTCATACGAAATCCGCTCTATTTATTATGTTTTTATAGAGAATGTGCAGTGCAGTAAAGTATTCCATTGGATTCCTAATTGTTGCAAGTGTTCTCCTACTGATAGGGTGGGTAGAGTGATATCATTACTTTGAAATCATTTTACCCATTATGGAGCTGTAATAGCTGTTGTTCAGACAACCAAATGTATTGCTTACAACAAGTAATAACACTGTATTTCATTGTGGTTAAATGGTACRACACWTTGTATAGAATCCATTATTCCCTGTGACAAAGAGATGGCTTGATTGCACAGGAACCCCAATAATCATTGTTGTAGTTTTGCTAATGTGGTATTACTCAATATATGTGTTAGGGCATTTGCACCACTGAAACAGCCTCCCAAAAATGTCACAGAATGGGATCAGAAGTTGTTGTTTCTGAAAGATGAACTTGCTTCTAATAGTAAGTATAACTAAAGTAGTTTACAATTTATTGAAAAACCCATCAATGGGCTACTACTGTTAAGTAAATTTGTTATTAAATAGTACATTGAGGCCCTTAGCCTCTTGTGATTCATCACACTATTATGTCGTATGAGCGCGAGCTCAGTAGTTGTAATACAGTTGTAATAAAGAACCAGTCAGGAAAACTGTTCAACTCAGTTTACAGTCTAAATACAAAGGTTAGAGTTTCCCTACCACTTAAAAAACCACAACTACCATTTGACTTTGTGATTTGAGACATTATTTGAAATTTTGTATTTCAGAGGGAGAAACTGCATTGTCTTTGATGATTGGTTTCCTGGCCCTCATTGGGATGTTGATCATGATCTTTTATACTGTAARTATTTGTCAATATTCAAACAAATGTCACTCTTAACCTTAAAAAAAGAAAGTATTGACCCATTTTATTTAATGTATGGTCACAATGCCAAAATTGTTATCATAATTATAAATATTTACTATATTGTGTACACTTGTTTGTGCATTTGAAACAACAATCATTTGCAAATGTAGGCTTATGGAATGACAGCACTTCCCTTTGCAATGCTTAAAGGTTTCAAAAGTTCAAAGGTAAGCATTTGGCAGTGCAATATTCTTGGCCTGTATAGTAGTAGAAGTACAAAATGAGAGGTTTTATAAGTGATGCATAGAAAACAATATTTGGCATCATTTGTTTCTGTGTTGTTTGTTTCATCATTTTTGAAATGCATTTTATTATACCAAAAAAGAAATTACTAATGCAGTAAAGTAAGGAATGATGATTTGAATATTTATTGACAGCAATGTTTGTATAGTATCAAATGAATTTTTTAATGTGTAGAAAGAACATGATGGGGTCAACAGAAAACTTGAAGATAACAAAGAAAGAGCAAGGATGATAAGAGCTAAATACATGGATGGCCGGTCTATCAATGGTAGAGACAGACGACTTCTCTCCCGTTTAGAAGCAGAGGAACAAACACTAGTGCGGCAAGAAAGACGACTTCATAATGCACAGCTTGGCTGGCTCAACAAGTGCCTTGTTTGCTGCAGACCATTTGAAGTTGTTTTCGGAGTGTTTTACTTGCTTTTTGCAATTTTGCTATTTGTTTCTCTATTCATAACCTGGTAAGAGTTGCATGTCAAATGAATGATCAATCCATCAGTCTGTTCAAGTCAATCAATCAATCTTGATCAATCAATAAGTCAATCAATCAATCTTGATCATGCCATCAATCAATCAATCAATCAATCAATCAAACAACCATTCATTTAATTATCAGTTAATTAATCCAAGTATATTTTATATTATTTTATCTTTCAATTGATCTGTCAGCCTGTCCATAACTTAGTTTTTTCTCTATCAATTTGTAAACAGCTTGGACAAAGCTCTACATTCTGAAGGATACAAGTATGGCTATATGCTAACAAAGGCACAATTACCAAACCCTATTAACATCATTATGGTTCATGCACAGAAGGTACTGTTTCAATGCACCTTGACACTTATCCTTGAGATAAACAAAGCTTTTATTTATAAATGCTGTTTAAATGTTTGTAATTATAGCTTAAACGTCTGTGAATGTAGCTTGAATACAACTACTAACCTAATCTATTAAATAAACTTGAACTGATTTTATTACAGGTCTTTCCCCTTGACTACTGCTTGTTTCTGGCCATTGTGTTGTACTTCATCTATGCGTCCATGGCGGGAATGAAGAGAACTGGCATACGTTGCTGTTGGATACGAGTATCCTTAACATATCAAAAAGACAATAGGTGTACTATGAAAAATATAAAAAAAATTATCATCAACAATAACAGCAACAATAGCAACAGCAGCAGCAACAACAACAACAACAACAGCGATTACAACAACAGCAACAACAACAACAGCAGCAACAACAACAACAACAACAACAAGGGTAATTAACAAAACAAATGACAATTACAGCATGCAGTAAAAACCAACTTCTCTTTTGCACTCTGATGTTTCCTTAGGGTCAATCTCTCTGTCCTTTCCCTTGCCCATAGCAGAACGCCCATAATGTGGAATACTGTGTTACATGTATCTGTACATGCGAATTATTCAGTGAATGTTACCTTAACTTGAACAAAGCTGTTCAAAATCCGTCCTCGTCATACTCTTCCCCAGGCCTTGCTCCTAATGTGCGTCATGCTCATGTTGATTGTCCTGTCTTTGAACATGATGCTYTTCAGCTTGGCTCCACAGTACGTAATGTATGGCAGCCAGCATTATTTGCTACATGTATGTACATCATTTCTCTACTTTCTGTGTAAAATCAGTTATATAAACAAGACTTTTTCGCTGTTGTTATATATGTCTGGTTTTCTAATTCTTTTTTTTTTTCAAGAAAAATGTTACAGCTCACAATGTAACAACGATAACATCAACAAGTGAAGTATGCTCGACGAAGATTTCGTCAGGTACGTTTTAAAGGAATATTTTGATGACGTTCACGTCAAACGGCAGAAAAGATCACGTGACCTGCTTTTTTGGGGGTTTACTGTTACAGTTTCAACTCGAGAGTGTGTTATTTTGAGGTTGACATAATCGTGAAAAGTTGCTCTTTCAAATGACTACCAAAAGCACAAGGTCAGGCACGAAATTTTTAGAGTTCTTAAGTCATTGGTTCAGCTCTGTCGTTAGCCGTTTGCCGTAAACGTGATGCTTAAACTCTCCAATAGTTAAAAAGCACCGTGAAAAAAAGAACGAAATACCTTCCGAGAAACAATTTTACTCCATTGTACGTATTTGTACAGTTTATTTGGCACGAGAAAGTTTCCTATATACTTGATTTCCGCTTCTATAACCTTGAAATGTGAAAATCTGTTTCAGATGACTGTACAGTGACACGAATCGCTGTTTTCTTGAATCGTTTCTTCTACAAAATTTGGTTTTTCGGTGCTTGTTATTACTGGGGAACATGGCTATTTCTTTTGGTAAGTATGACTAGAAATATCTGTCTTAAAATGTGATGGCTTAGCCAACTCTATTGTTGYACTGTGCTCATAAATGTTATCAAGATCTTTTTGCCGGGATCAGGTTGAAGTTTTTTAACGAAAACTTYAAAAAAAWTTTTAARCTCTTTTATTTGTTCTTACCGCATTTAACAGCTTTAAAAGTATGTAAAAAGATATTGGAACAAATATTGAGGATAGCATGAGTATCATTTTATTGCGATACTACCCGGCCTATTAAATCTTAAAGGTGTCATGCATAATTGTCGCGCTATATCCAATCAACTAGGAAACTCAAATTATTTTCAAGCCTTCTTTTCATAAATTGATAAGCACCAATTTTAATGTTATTGTATTTCAGGCGTTTGTCATCGGTCTTATTGTGTCTATTGTGAGGAAAAGGAAAACAGTTGTCGAGGAATACCTGAGTGACAGCGATGACTCAGAAGAGGAATTAATTGCTGCGTGAATTAGTCAACCAATCATGTGACCTTAGTTCTATAGACTAGCTCTTAGCTGATTGGAGGCCTGTGTCACGTGACGTGTGTCACGTTGTACATGAATACCAAATCTATCATAATGTGCAGTGACGCTATTTTCTGCAAAGCATGATGGGAGTTGTAATCTTTGTTGTCTGCTTACACAGTCCCTATATGTGGGATCGTTACTTGATTTCTTTACAAAAAATGTATATATAAAAAGGTTTTGGGGAYCAAAGTACAAAGTACCGCGAAGTTTATCATCATGTTTTGTTGTACAAAATAGCGTCACTGGACAGTGCTTATGTTTGAGCAGTCTTTATTC